TGCCACCCCAGGTACACTGTTCCCACTGCAGGCCACTGCTGTACCTTGTTTAATCTCCCACGGTTGTCAGGACTGGGTGTGAGTACCACAGAGGGGATGCTGCAGTTCCTGCCAACTCCCATCCCCATGCAGTGTCTAGGCCCATACTACTGGTCAGAGGACAAATGCTTCAGGCCCCTCATCCCTACTCGTGACAGTATCAGAGGCCCTTGCTAGAAACAGATATAGCACTAACAGCACCTGAGGAAACCTCCATCACCAAATAGGCCACTACTCCCCTTCAGGTAGAGCACAAAGGGATAAGCCACACCCACTGCGGTCTGCACTACACCTGCCTGAGTGTTGTGGCCAGACTCACTAAGAAGCTACAGGAAGACTACACTGGAGTGCCTAGCTAGAATCAAAGCCAACTGCATAGCAAATGGACACCCCAAGACACATCTTCAGGAGAAAGCTTCTTACCAAGAAAGCCACCCATGAAAGTGGTAGTGAGGGGCTGGGGCTGTAGCTCAGTGGTAGAGCACTTGTCTCATCCGTGTGAGGCTCTGGGCTCCATCCTCAGCACCACATAAAAAATAAATACATAAGAAGGTATTGTGTCCATTTACAACTAAATAAGTACTTTTTAAAAAGTGGTAGTAATACCTGATTTACTAGGATGCACAAATCCCAAAGTAGGAACATGAGAAATATGAAAAAACAAGTAATATGACACCTCAAAAAGTCCCTAACTCTCTAGCAACAAATTCCAAAGAAACTGAAGTAGATGAAATGCCTGATAAAAAATCCAAAAGAATGATTATAAAAAAGTGCATGATCCAAGAGAATATAGATAAAAGTTAAATGAATTTAGGAAGACGGTGGATGCTTATGTTCCACCTAAAATTGAACTTCGGGAACATAAAAACTTAAATAGAGTAATAAAATTACTGAGCAAGTAATTTGATTAAATAGTTAATAAAACGTCTCCCCAGGGGCTAACAATGTGTGGGAGGTATCCGGGAATAACCACTGTTATTCAGGGGCTGGTGTTGTGACTCAGTGGTAGAGCGCTTGCCTTGCACGTGTGAAGCACTGGGTTCAATTCTCAGCACCACATAAAAATAAAGGTATTGTGTCCATCTACAAACTTAAAAAAAAAATTAAGTCTTCCCAAAGAAAAGATGACCTGAGGGATTCATTGCTGAGTTTTACCAGTCTTTTAAAAGAACCTCAGTTCTTCTCAATCCACAAAATTGGAAGGGAGAGGACCCTTCCAGACTTCTTCACTGAGGTCAGCATTAGCCTATTACCAAAATGTGATAAGGACAAAATAATGATAACAACACACAATAATGATAATCAACAACAAAAGAAAACTATATCCCTAAACATAGATGCAAATATCCTCAACAAAATACTAGCATATTGAAATCAAAAAGATCATATGCCATGATCAAGCTGGTTTCATTCCAGGGATGCAAGGATGGTTCAACATATGCAGATCAATAAACATAAATCATCACATTAATAGAATGATGGAAAATCATATGAATCATCTCAATAGATCAGTAAACGAACTCAATGAAATTTAATACCCCTTCATGATAAATGCCCTGAATAAGTTAGGTTCAGGATAATATTTCCTTGATATAATAAGGGCTATGTAACAAACCTATAGCCAACATCATAATGGGGGAAAAACTAGAAGCATTTCCTCTAAAATCAGGTTCCAGACAAGGGTATTTTCTCCAACCACTGTTATTCAATATAGTACTTGAAAATTTTAGCATCAACAATTAGGCAAGAGAAAGAAAAAGCATAGAAACGGGGAGGGAATAAAATTATCCTTGTTTGCAGATGATATGAATCTGCACATAGAAAAATATAGTTTTCACTAAGACTATTAAAAGTGATAAATGAATTCAGTGAAGTAGTAGAGTACAAAAATCAACACACAAAAATCAGTAGCTTTTGTATATACCAATATCAAATTTACTGAGGAAATCATAAAAGCAATCCCATTCACAATAGCCTCAAAAATTGAAATAAAATAAAAATACCTAAGAATAAACTTAACCAAGGAGGTGAAAGATCTCTATGATGAAGATTTAAAAATATTGAAGAAAACAACAACAACAAAAAATATGGCACGACCTCTTATGTTCAAGGGTTAGAAGATTTAATATTGCTAAAATGTCCATATCACCCAAAATAATACATACATTCAAGTCAATCCCCGACAAAATACCAATGACATTCTTCACAGAACTAGGAAAAATACTAAAATTCATATGAAAGCACAAAGGACCTTGCAATATTGAGCAAAAAGAACAAAGCTAGAGATCACAATACCCAGTTTTAAGACATATTATAGACCCATAGTAATAAAAACAGCATGGTATTGGCATTAAAAACAGACATACACCAAATGGAACAGGATGGAGTTCCCAGAAATAAATCCATACATCTACAGCCAACTGATTCCAACAAAGGTGCCAAATACATACGTTAAGAGAAAGGACAGCCTCTTCAACAAATGGTGCTGGGATAACCAGATATCCACATGCAAAAGACTGAAACTTGGCCCTTATCTCTCCCCCTGTACAAAAATCAACTCAAAATGGACCAAAGACCTAAGTGTAAGACCTGCAGTTCTGAAACAACTACAAGAAAACATAGTTGAAATATTTCAAGGCATTGATACAAGAAATTATTTTCTGTAATTCCAAAAGCACAGGAAATAAAACCAGAAACTAACAAATGAGGTTACATCAAATTAAAAGCTTCTGCACAGCAAAAGAAACAATCAACAGAGTGAAGAGAACCCACAGAATGGGAGAAAATATTCATCAGCTACATCTGACTGAGGGTTAATATCCAGATATAAAGAACCCAGAAAACTTAGTAAAAGAATAAGTAACCCAATTATTAAAAAAAGGCAGAAGATCTGAACTGACACTTCTTAAAGAAGATTGCAAATAAACATATGGAAAAGTGTTTAACATCTTTGTCAGAAATGCAAATCAAAACTATACTTTACCACAGTTAGATTGCTATTACTAAAAAACAAACAAAGTGAAGCAAAAAATAACAAATGCTGGTGAGTATGTGGAGAAAAAAGGAGCTTTTGTATACTGTTGTTAGATTAGTACAAGTTACTACGGAAAACTAAAAATAGAACTTCCATATGATTCAGCTATTCATCTCCTGTTTATATATACAAAGGAAATATGTCAGTATACAAAAGAGATATCTGCATACCTGTGTTTATTGTGGCCATATTCACAATAGAAAAGATTGGAATCACAGTAGATGGGGTAGAGAGAAGATGGGAGGGGAGGGGGATAGTAGAGAATAGGAAAGGCAGCAGAACACATCAGACACTAGTATGGCAATATGTAAAACAGTGGATGTGTAACCGAGGTGATTCTGCAATCTGTATACGGGGTAAAAATGGGAGTTCATAACCCACTTGAATCAAATGTATGAAATATGATATGTCAAGAATTATGTAATGTTTTGAACAACCAATAATAAAAATTAAAAAAAAGAAAGAAAAAAGATTGGAATCAGCCTAGGCACCTGTCAACAGACAAAGAGATTAAATACACACACACTGGTCTATTATTCAACAATAAAGAAGGATGAAATCCTTCTTCATTTGCAGCTAAATAGATGGAAATGGAAGATAATATGTGAAGTGAAATAAGCCAGGCATAGAAAGACAACTACTGCATGTTCCCTCTCACATATGGAAGCTACAAATGTCAACCTGAAAGTAGATCAGTGATTTACTGGGTTTTGGCAGGGGTGAGGGTGGTTGCATATGGTCAATCCATGCTGTATGTATGTGTGGAAATATCACCCCAAACCCCATTGATATATACAATTACAATGTGTTAACAAAACTTTTTAAAAAGTATTTTATAATCCCCTCTTTCACCCTGTTTTGGTTTATCATAAAAAGTCATGAACCTCTATGACTGAAAAAATACTTGTAGTTCCAGATGATCTTTCTCAAAAGGGAAGTATCAGATTCTTTGAAAGGCCAAGCAGTTCTCTGATCATGTATTATTACAGTCATTTGAGTCAAATAAGAACATAGGTAGTAATTTATCATGCTAACCCCTAAACAGTTAGAATGACTTACATGTGTTCATGCAGGTCTACACCGATGTAGGCTATGGACCTCGTCATACCAGTTCCATGTATTTTGCTGGGCCCAATTTGGAGAAGCCTTTAATTATTTCCGCTTTCCTTCGAGCAGAAAGTTGATTTGCTACTCTGCATCCCCATCCTGGGCTCCCCAGGCAGCCCTGTTTAAGGACCCCACTTTATTTCAATAGTGGCCCCTCTCATCGATCACTTGAATTCAATACATAAATTGAGCTCTTTTTGTCCCTTCTCTTTTAGCACACAAACACTGCAGTGGACTAGGAATGTAGCTAATTTGCGTGTGAGAAAAGCTGTGCTTCAGAGAAATGGGGGTGATGTCTGACTCTGGATGTGACCCCTGAGAGGAACAGCTGAGAATACCTTTGCAGTAATTTTTTCTACTTAGAGAATAATGCTCAAAAACAGCCATTAATACAATGTTCTTGAGAGTCATGTCAGATCTTTGTTATCTGAGGTGATTTTTCCTCTATTGTGTGAAGTCCCTAGCTCAGATCCCGAGAATATGGCCTGAGTATGCTGCCCCTTTAGGCACCCTCACTTGATTTCTTCCCTTGTTATGGGAACTTTCAGGCCAACCTGTCATTTTAAATCTCTCATTAGCTTTGCAAAGAAATTTGACATTTGCTGACAGTCATTGTCATGTTAGATAACTGCTTTTGCTTTCTTTCTACAAAGATTAAAACAAGTGAGAAGAAGACAACTCTGCCAAAACCCGAAAGGAAGCGCCGAGGAGCCTCTGTGGGCTCTTCTATCTGGATGCAGCTCACGCAGACTCCACCTGCAGCTAGCAATCAACACGCTAAATTTCAGCAATGAAAGTTCAATTGAGAAAAATCATTTACCTTGGAGTCCAGCTGCTGCATGTATGACCAAAGATATTCTATATTGGCTCCAAAAGGATGGACGTGAAGAAATGTTGATATGATGCCTGAATAAAAAAACAAAAACAAAAAACAAAAACATTGAAAAGTACTTAGAGGCAAGTGAATGTCTCAGTTAAATAATGTCATCTATCCTCAATGCTTTTGTCAGGTTGAGTTATGGTCTTGCTATTTCTAAGAGAAGTCAACAAGCATACAATAACAGCACGTTCTGGAGATGGTACAGTGATGTGGGGGCAAACAAAATACTTGGTCCCCTAGAATGACAGTAGTTAGCAAAGCTAGACTCTGAGATGACATTTAGATGAATAAAGGTATTTCTAAACAAAGACTCCTGGAAGCAGTTCAACTACCAATTTTATGCTTGATTTACCAATACAAAATTATAGTTATTGGAAGGATAAAATTATCTCTTTTCTTTCTCTCAGTAGATTTTGCAGTGTGAAAATGGCTAATGTGGTTGTGTCCCAAATCACACTGTCTCAAGTTTTCCTGATAATTACAGTTCTGATTATGAAAAATGCATAATCCATATTTTCCAAACTGCCATCAGAAGAAGTACAATTCTTACTTTAACATTTGCTGTTTCCCTCTGGTTGTTGCTGTTGTTGAAAAGAAGCCAGCTTGCTTTCCCTTCCTCTGCTGTAATTTACAAGATCATTTTATAAGGTCTGGGAATGGATGCTTTGGCTGGAGTTTGAATATAAATCAGAAGGTCTTTCCATCGTGAAAACCAACTGTTAGCGTAATACTGACAAACGAACAGCTGGATGTTGGTGTCAGGGCTGAAGCAGAAAGTATTACCCACCCATTCTCCCTGTTCCTGTGTTCCCAAATCAAAACAGTGGAGTCGACTCCATAGACTGTATTCTGCTTTTTGTTAAGAAGTGCTTACACTGACTTCTGAAGGGAGGGGGTACCAGGAATTGAACCCAGGGGTGCTTAACCACTGAGCCACATCCTAGCACCCCTACCTTTTTTTTTTAGTTATAGGTGGACACAATACCTTTATTTTATTTTTATGTGGTGCTGAGGATCGAACCCTGTTCCTCACACATGCCAGGCAAGTGCTCTACCACTGGGGGCCCAGCCCTTTTTTAAGAAAATTATTTTTGAGTAAGGGTCTAAGTTGCTCAGGGCCTCGCTAAGTTGCTGAGGCTGGCTTTGAATCAGGGATCCTCCTGCCTCAGCCTCCTGAGCTGCTGGGATTGCAGGTATGTGCTATCATGCCCAGCTTACACTGATATTTTTAAAAATTAAATTAGTCATACATGATAATAGGATGCATTTTGACACATCATACACAAATGGAGTACAACTTCTCATTCTGACATTTTTACACTGATGTTTTTAAGTGCTCTTTTAAGCAGGTTTCAAGATGAATTAAGTCTCTTGCTCTGTTTATTGTGAATCTTGATGCTTGGGAGCCAGAAGTCAAAGGGAAGATTGTCACTTCTGTAGCATGCACTCAGAGAGAGCACCAGGCAAGCCTGTCATTCTTATGTGAGGCTATCCTATATTTGCAGGTGCCCTTGGGCTGATCTGGGATAGGGCTGCATGGCCCCCTGTTTGTGTGCTGCTTGAGATGGTCTGGGGTGAGTGTCCACTTTTAAAGAAAAGTTCCCAGATTATCTTCAGGACGAGGAAGATAGAACAAAGGGTCTAGACTGATCCTCTGAAGGCTGCATCTATAGGTTTGTGAATGAGGAAGGTAGAAACAATTACATATCTCTGTGAAATTAAAGATATCAATTTTCAGAGACTGGCCTGAATTATAAAGAACTACCATTTTATTCTGAGGGGGTGTTATTTCTTCTCTCTCTCTCTCTTTTTTTTTTTTTTTGCTAAAATGTCTTTTAATGAAATAATGTTGATAGTAGATGGTAATGATGGTAGTTTTAATATTTTTAAATAGCATCCTGATGAATAAACAAAGCCTTTTTTCAGTTCCCTTGAACTATTTCCCTGAAATGGTGAAAGGATAGCTGTTACTCAAAAGGTAATGAAATGCCCCAAACCTTCTAACTGGAGACGTTTTTCAGTCCTCTGGAGTAACCTCAAGTTGTGGTAAGGGGAACATGAGGGATCGAGGATGGAGAGTTTAGCTAAGGTTGAACTGGAGGATTTGCAAAAGGATGGACTCAACAATTGTGCTGGCCATTTCCAGGGAGAAGTGGGAGTCTCCATAGGTAAGAATGAGTTTCCCAGCAGTGGAAAATACAATTGTAAGTGGTTAATTCAGAGGAGGGGAAAGAAAAGCAGGGGAAGTTGTCAGTTCTACTTGGCTTTTCTGAATATCTCAGAACCTTAAAAGCTACTTCAGAAAAATACACAAACCAGTTCTGTATAACCAGTGGCAAATCTCATTAGGAAAGCCCCCTTAAATAGTCTACATAAAAGCATTCCATCAAAACCATTCTAGTTTATTCTTATTTTTGAACTTCATTAGAATCAAGGGAGCAGCTTTAAATTAACCCAATAGTACAAGTTTTGCTGTTCTTCGTTCACTTCCTTTAAACACTTGTTTAGCAGCAATGAGGTCCGAAGGTGCTAGGGGAATGGCACCATGTAAGACAGAGTGCCTGCTGTCATGGAACTTTTATTCTAGGGGGAACAACACAGATGATAAAAAATAAAGAAAATATTTACCAGAGAGTGCTAAGTATAAGGAAGAAAACAAAACAATGTGAGATGGGAAGGAAACAACCACAGAAAGCCTAGGGGTTAGTTAGGTATAGGGGACAGATAGTGCAAAGGCCCCCCCTGAGGCCACAATGAGCAGGCTGGAACACTGAGCATTCAAATAGAGGTAGGTGGGGCGGATAAGGTAGGGCCTCTGTGCCAGAGTTAGGGGTCTGGTTTAAATTCTAAATGTAGCAGGGAACCAAAAGAGGGGCTCAAAACTAAGCCCTGAAGAAGTCTAAAAGTTTAAATTGAAGAAAACTCAGCAAAGAAATGTGGGAGGGTGTGATCAACAAGAAAGAATGGCCTCGAGATGAACAAGAGAAGAAAGCGTTTCCAGAAGACTCACATCTGAATTCAACCATGCAAAGTGCAGTTGACAGAGGTTATGGAGAGACTGGCAATATGAAATTCTCTGGTCACTTGGGCAAGAGTAGTTTTGGTGTGAGGATGCAAGCCAGACTGGAGTGACTGGAGAGGGAGGGGAAGGGAGGAAATGGAGACTGTGAGTCCAGACAATGCTTTGACGTGGAGCAGGGAAATGGGCTGTTGGTTGAAAAAGGTTATGGGGTCCAAATAGGTTTTCCCTCTCTTTTCTTTTAAAGGTCCAAGATAAGAGAGCTCATGAATGTATATGATGAGGCATGTGATCCTATGTTTGCATACAAGGTCACACGAAGGCTCCATGGACATGGAACTGCAGTGCCAGCAGGGAGGAAGTCCTGTGAAATCTGGATCTCCTGCTGAGCCACTAGGGGACAGTGGTCTGTGGACAGCTGAAGATCAACAAGGTGCTTGTGGACAGAGGCAAGCCTGAGAATGGTAGGAAACATGTGTGGTTTGGGCTGATGCTTCTTGGTGTCCTGGGATTTTGAAAAGCTTTAACTTTCTAAAAAGCAGCATGTTCTGCCTATTTGGTAAGTGCACAACCTGGTCTTGCATATTGGTTGGTTTTTGTTTCATTTTTATCTTTATTTTGTCCGTCTGTCTTACTTTTCAAACAAACCCCTCAGACCATGTTTGGGTCTTTCAGTGAATTGCTCCTTGTATCTGAAATGCCCTTGACAACCTCTTATCCATTCATCCTTTAAGAATAGACAGACCGTCCTTTCTTTTGGAAAGGCATCTTGAACATATGCAGTTGCCCCTGTTTCTTATTTTAGTGCAAACCTCATTCATTGTAGTGAATTGCTTCCTTTCTCACTGTGAACCTCTTGAGGGAAGAGATCCTCTTACTACCAACAGTTAAAATGGGCATTGGCATGGCTGTAGGATGGCCAGTACTTCTCCAAACATGGTTCCAGAAGTGCTGGCTTCAGTATCGCCATGGATGCTGTGGGGTGGGGGGATCCAAGTTTCTGCCTTTTCAATAAGCTGTATAGGGGATTCTTCTCCCCAACGAAGGCTGATAATTCTTATAGTAGGCTCTTGACAAATGTTTGCTGATTTACTGATATGGACATTTGTGCCTCAGAAATAAGATTTAGGTCAATGACTCATTCTTTATGGTCAGTAGCTTTCCGAGAGGAACTCACTCTCCAGATTACTCTGCTCAGGCACAGCCTAAATATAGCCTCAATGCTAATGACTGAAAACACCACAAAAGTCACTGCTGAACATTCTGTAAATCTTCTCTCCACTTTCCATTCATCTGATACCTGAGTATCAGGGGAAAATTCCAATTTTGACACGATTGCACATGTGTGAGACGGTGACAGTGATGAAAACGGTGGCGTGAGGGGGCCCTGAAGTGAAGAAGCACCTTGGTGATGCACAGTAAGGGTTCTGATCTGCATAGGAGTCAGGATGTACAGAAGTCTGTCTGATCATTAAGAATTTAAGAAGAGTTCTCAGAGGACCAAGGGAGGTTTTGAGGAAAAGCTACTTTGTAAACACTTTGAGTTGCTGGAGGGTTTTGATTTTATCTGAAAGGGATTCAGTGATGAATGGCATTGACAGGATGCCAATCAGAGATGCTGGCATGGGAAATCTATTGGGTTATTATTCAAAAGCAAGAGAAGATAGGGATACAGACCAAGTATATTATCAACATCTCCTCAGAGCCATTAGCTTATCAATAAAACATGTGATCCATTCTCCTTAATAACAATTATGTAGGGGTTTCCAGTCAGCCACAGCTCCAAAACTTCAGTCCTAAATACAAAGTACTGACTCATTCTATCTCAAACAACCTCAGCATATGCCAGATCCAACATGTAGACCATATGTGAAATGAACAAGGAGTTCTGGCATAGACACCTGGTAGCGGCAAGCTAACTTAGTGTGAGGCTACAGCAGAGCTATGAAACATAAAATGCCACCCAGCAACGGCCCCAGAAAAATCTAATCCTTTATGGTCCAGTTATATGTTAACCTGTCTTCACAAGGATTGATTACAAAATAAATAGTCCCCAAATCACAATAATGAAGTGCTTTCTAAAGACCTATTTCTAGTTGAGTTGAAACTGAGTACCTGATCCCCATTAATTGTCATGAAGAAAGACTGGCACAATGGCTGAGCTCTCAGAAGCCTCAGGATCCAGATCTGCAAAGCTCCAAATGTTACCTATGAAATCCCACTGATCCTCTCATAAATATCAACTCATATCCCTTGAAATGAAGATTCCAATTTTAAAAAGTGCTCATGAGAATGTCCAGATAGGACATATGCTTTTACACAGATAAATCAGTGTCCCAAATAATCAAAAGTGACTGGGATTGCTTATTGTTTATGAAGTTTGAGCCTCAGTTCTATATTCTTAGTAGGTGAAATCCATTTGAAATCATTTATTGTTCACTCCCCTTTTCTTTCAGGCAATCAAGATTTGTACCAATATGCATTTCTTATATAACATTAATGTGTCCCAAGAGGGGATCAGGTCATGTGCATTTATGGCACATCATGTATACTATGGACACCCATCTGTGATGATGATTTTGCCAGTTACTATTTCCAAACTGAGGGAGATTTTCTGCTGTGCTCCTGGGATTCTAGACTGGCTCAGGGTGTCCTCTAAGCCTGTATCCTTGCTACATGTTTAATTATTCCAGCGGAATTACAGAGTATTTTTAAACCCTCTGGTTGTACCCTAAGTCTGAGGACTCTGAAAATCATTCTACCTGCAAGAATCTTCAAAATGGCACAGCCCCAGCACCAGGAACCTCCCTTTTCTCTCTTGCCTGGTCCACAGCAGTTTTGTCCCCACCACAGTCTATTATCTAGATTCCAAAAGCTGCAGGGAAGGTCTGAATGTTCCCAACATTCGGGTATCTACAAAGTAGGAATGGCCAAGCTAAATTAGCAAGATTAATGGCAGAGGGCAACTTCATCTTTTCACAGGATCTACTGCCAACCTTAGAAACATCTCAATTATAATTTTTTTAAAAAATAGGATTATTCTCTCTCTGATACTTCATCTTTTCACAGGATCTACTGCCATCCTTAGAAACATCTCAATTATATATATTTTTTAAAAATAGGTGTTTGTGGATTTGAATAATACAGTATCTTTTTGTCAAACTAACTTGATGTAGAGTAAAATAAAATGTCAAGAAAGGTAGAGAGGAAATAGGAATTTCCCCCTGTCTATTCTCTAAGTATAATTTAATTGAATGCTTAAGTCTCCTGACTCCCTTCTACCTCCATATTCTCATGTACTGATTTAAGATGAATGAACTCCCTGGTTCTCTTCTGCTCAACCCTAAACTTCAAATGGTAATATAGAGAGTCTAGTTTAAGGGATCAACAGCCAAGGGGGAATGTCCTGGAAAATTTAGAGTCTATTGTGCATACTTTCTAATGAATACCTTGAATTACTAATATTTTTGTTTCTAATACACTTGAATTAACTAATTTCAATTTTTTCCTAGTACTAAAGACATTATTGAAGAATGTGTGTTATAAATGTAACCTATCTACTCTTGTTATTGTATAGTATATAAAACACTCTTTTTAAATTTTGAGGGAAGTGATTTAGTGTGTGTGTGACAGATCCTAGTAACTATGTAGAAGATCTTAACAGGAAGAAAATAAATAGTCCTGTTCTCACTTTTTTTTTAAACCTTCCAGTGGTCAGAATTATTCACACTTATGCAGAAAAAATTTTCTCTTTGTTTATCATTTTGTGCTCTGTTAATATCCTAAAAAAGCATTATAGGTAAAATCACATTTTTGTCACACTGAGTGAAAGAGAAACAACTGTCAGAGTTGGACACATTTTCCAATAGGAGAAAAATCCAGTTACCAACTACACTTGGGTTCATTTGGGGTTCCTGAGACTGACAGCACATCAGCATGTCTTCTGAGACTTGCACATGGCATGCTATTATAGCTGTATATCATCAGAGAGAAAAAAATAATTGGTTTTCCTTGGAGTATCTCTAAGTTGATGTCATATTCAATAACCCTGTAGTTGAAAAATCTATATATGATGGATGAAGTTTGGACTATCTTTTGAATTTAATTCCTCCTGTGCCAGCTTCTGCAGGCCTTGGTATACCTGTCATCTTGAGGTAAGAGCATATGCAGTATTTAACTGCATCCAAGCACTACTTCTGCCAGATAACGAACTCCAGGAGAACAATTTTTCTCACATGTACAACAGTCTCATTCTTCACTGTTAATGGTGCCATGGAGGAGCCATTGAACTTGGAGAACCTGGGGTAGGTGCCAAGATGCAGCTTGAATAGAGGCTGTGAATCACAGGGTGAGACAATGCTTCCTTTCATCTGGGTTTGAGGGCTTCAGGGGCATACAGGCTACTAAGGCACATTATAACACATTTCCACCAAGACCTCCTCCTGTAAGAGTCCGTACTGCTTCTGTATCCATTGATGATGGCTCTCAAAAGTTACCATCTAGAGCTTTGTCTGGTCCAGACAAAGAAAAAGCCAACCTAGAAGTAGTTTGTGGGGCAACTGTGTGTTTTAGGTGAACAGCAAATTTCTTCATCTTCCTTGGTGGCCAGCGTCTTTTGTTCATCTTGCGTAAATGGATCCACACTTGGACAAGGAATTCTGGATTAGAAGGCCCTGGATTAGCCTAGCACTGAGAGAGTCTGGATGTACCTGTTTCATGTGTTTTACGGGCATGGCTCTGGGGCTCCCCTCAGGACATGGCCACTGCTGAGGGGTGCGAGCTTAATCTTCTGGGTTCAAAGCCTAGACATCTGACTTGGTTTGGAACTTTTGGATTAGAACCAACCTGGCCTCCAGGTGGAAGTACAAAGTCCAAATTCACATTTGTGACATGTGAGGTGTAAATTAATCTGTTTACTTGAACTTGGTTTCATGTCTGACAACCAACTAATACATATGGTTACAGAAGAGCAAAACCTCCATTAGTTTGTATGCCACTAATGTGAAATGTATGTAATATATTCTTGATGAGATTAATCTCACCTCTGACCAGAAGGCAAAGTTGTTTAAATTGCTAACAAGCTGGAGTTGAATTAATAAAATATTATTTAAGCTAATTACACAAGACTTAAGAGAATAGATGAAGAAAAAGAATTTCCTTACCTATTAGAAGAGCTTCTTTCTCTGATTTTAAGCCTTGGCTTCTTTTCTCAATATTGTTCTCTCGATCTTGGTTGACTAATGCAACTGTCAACACATTGATTTCCTATAAAGTTAAAAAACAAAAGCCATATATATGTTTATGTAGATTCTATAAATTTCAATAAAAATCACCAGATATCTTAAGCTCTATAAAAGAGGTCATCACTTCCATTTATAAGTGAATATCAAATCTTATAAATAATTGATTTGTCCAATAGTAGAAAAGTAATTCTAAAAACCTAGGCTCCTAACTTCTTCAAGCAAACCAAGAAACTCTGCGCAAGTAGAAAATTTGGCACAAATTATCTTAGATTTTTGTCCATGTTTTAATTAAATTCTGTTCACTAGAGCTGTATTTGACTGTAGCTAATTTAACAGGTTTTATTTAAAAATGAAAAAATTTTCTAGGAAAGCCTATAGCACACTGATTTATAATGCTATACTAGTATCTTGAGTGAGAATGTAGGGAAACAGAACCTATTGGAGAGCAAGCAACTGTTGGTAGGAATATTTAAATTGAGTAAGTATGAATCCTGATACACAACTGGAAAAGGTAGATAAAGCAAAAGCTGGGAAATTCTTTTCTTTGGGAGCTAAAATTGAAAAACTGTACAATAAACCAATAACACATGAAATATTGATGCTGGACTAGTTTTAGTTCTTTATAACTTGAAGACAGAGATCAAGATCTAACTCATATATTCCCAGTCTTGATATTAAGACCCAAAAGAGAATGATTTAATAGAATTTAATGATCTGCACGTGTGGGATAATAGAATCATTAGGGAAGTTGAGTCTTATAGAGGGAAGATGTTCACTAAAAGATTGTTTTACACAGATCGAAGATAACTAAATATATGTTTCCTATACAAAGTTATGCTACAGAGTAGTACCAGGGAAATAAAGGAAACACTATATTTCCAGGAGAGTAACTGAGGGAGGATTCTGGAAATCAGCAAGGAAATAATGGGAACCTTAAAACCTGGAGATTTAGAAAAGCAATCAAGAGAAAAGAACAAGACAATCTGCAACTTCAACCCCAAGTCATGTCTGGGGAGTAGTGAATAGGGGATGCAATGACTCCACTATGCCAGGAGAAGGTAAGTGACAAAGTACCAGCAAAACCCACAAGAGCAGCATATGGGAGGTCCTAATTGCAAGAGAAGTCCACAGTCCTTATAGGCTTAAATACAGCTTGGGAACTGGCTGGTCTAAGAACAACTTCTCTGCTCAAAACAATAAACTCACATTGGGCCTTCCCCAACCCCCAGAGCACAGGCTGTTACAACAGATGCCACTTCTAGATGCCTTAGGGGATGGCAGCTGGCTCCCTGAGCTGATGGCAGCCTTGGGCCTGTGTGTGCCTCACAGAGCAGAGAGACAGCTTCCTCAGCATCTTGCACCTCCAGGACCAGCAGCTGCCAGAGCCAGAAGCTCAAGTTCCAGTGGCACTTGTTCCATAGAGATGAGGGAAGGTCTCCTTAACAGTCTGCAGCCTTCAGATTGCAGCTGCTGGTATGAAAGTCCCCATATCACCTGTGTCTGTCTGTGGGGATCTGGGGAAGGTTCCAGCTACAGTCCCAGAATCATGGCCCAAACCCAAGCACCACCCATGCTTGCTCCGAACCTGGGAAAGGTTAAATTCACATTCTTCAGCTCCAGAAATGTAACCACCAGTGCCCTAAATCTTGTACTACCTGCAGGGATTAGGAAAGGTCTTATCTTCAGCCCACAGCCTTGGAACTGCAATTGCTAGTACAAAATTCCTCAGCATCAACCATGCTCATCTCTGGAAAACAAGGACATTCCCATCATGTCCTGAAGTTCCAGGACCATCATTACCAATGCCACAAGTCTTGTCCCATTAACACTTGACCTGCATGAGCTAGGGACATTCCTATCCACATCCTACATCTCCAGACCATAGGTACCCAAATGCCAAGCCCTGACACTTCTTGTGTTTGGACTAGAGATGTCCCCTCTGCCTTCTTCACCTCTAGTTTCATGGGTAACAATACCACAAGCCCAAATGCCACCTGTGTATTCTCTAGGAGACCTAGAGAAGGTCTTATCCACAGCCTGGAGTCCTGGAACCATACCTGCTGTTGCCCTAGCATCACCTGTGTTTGTCTCTTGACAAACTTCAGAAGGTCCCATCTGGGTCCTGCAGTTCTAAAAAGTGGTTACCAGCACTTCGAGGCCCAGAGGTACCCACAATAAATTCATAAAACCTAAGGAAGGTTCCCTTTACGTCCCAACCTTGAGTCCATTGTTCCCAGTGCCAACAGCCCCATCATCATCTGTTTTCATTTCGGGGGGATTTGGGGGAAGGTTCTATTCCATCTGGCGGCTCCGGAATTAAAGCTGCTGGTGCCACAGGCCCTGGATCTCACATTCATCCTGAGGAATCTGGAGAAAGTCTCCTTCACATCCTATGGTTCAGGGAGATGGCTGCTGACACCCTTGGTGTGACCTATGCTTGCCTGTGGGACCTGGGGATGATCCTCTCAACATTCCACACCACCAACGCTGCAACAGCTGCCATTGCCATTGATGCCCCAGTGGCATCACTGCTCGACTCTATGGGGTCTGAGGATTTACATTTTTAAAAGTCTATGTCTAGTGCAAAGTTGTACAACTTTCATGCTCTGCTGCAGTCCAGACAACTGAGGCACTGATGTTGTCGACATTAATCACAATCAAAGAAACTGTACTTTTGAACTCACTTATAATCAAAGCAAAAGTAGCTACATGGTTGACATTATACATCCCATCTAAATGAAAAAAACATTCTCCTACAAAAGCTATTACATAAAATTGGAAGAGGTGAATAGTTCACTAGATGTGCAACGTCAACATTAGGGACGTTCAAACAGATGAACAAAAGATACCTCCAAAGGAATGCATTAGTTCCCCAGAAATCCCATTTTTGAGGAAAAATTATAAATTTCTGAAAAAAATTCAAAATAATGACCCTAAAGACACCGAGTGAGATGCAAGAGAATATAGACGGACAATGCATAGGAATGAGAAAAAAAATTTCAGGATATGAATAAGAAATTCACCAAAGAGAGACCATAAAAAGTATAAGAAATCTTGAAGCTAAAAATATCAATCCATAAAATAAAAAATACAATTGAGAGAGTCTATACTAGACTAGAATAAGCAGAAGAGTGAATTTTTGAACTTAAGTTCAGGTCTTTTTTAACTCATTTAGACAAAAAAAAATTAAAAAGAATGAAGTAAGCATGTGAGACTTTATGGGACCCTATTAAACAATTTTTCACATCATGGGAATTTCAGGAGAAGAAAAGGAGAAAGGAATTGAAAACCTATTTCACAAAATAATGATTGAAAATTTCACAAATATTCAAAGAGGTATGGACATCCGATATAAGTTTGGAGGACTCCCAGATAGATTAAACCCCAAACGACTTTCACCAAAGCACATTTTAGTCAAAAGTATAGGATAAAGTGAAAATCCTAAAAAGAGCAAGATAAAAGCATCATGTCAGAGGCTGGGGTTGTGACTCAGTGATGGAGTGCTTGCCTTGCATGTGCAAAGCACTGGGTTCAATTCCCAGCTCCACATAAAAAAACTAAACAAAATAAGAAGGTAGTTTGTCCATCTATAACTAAAAATATTTTTTAAAAAGCATCACATCTTTTGGGAATGCCTGTTAGACTTATAGCAGAAACCCTAAAGCCAGAAGAGAATTGAATGATATAGTCCAAGTCCTAAAAGAGAAAACCATGCCAACCAAGAATACTATATATACTCAGTAAACTATCTTTCAGAAATGATCAAGTGGGATTTATTACACTGATGCAAGAATGGTCCAGCATATGCAAATTGATAAATAGAAAGTAACACATCAAAGATATGAATTCAACAAAACCATATGAACATCTTAACAGAAGTAGAAAAAGCATTTGATAAAATTCAACATCTCTTAATAATAAAAACTCTCAAGAAATTAGATTCAGAAGGAACATATTGCAAAAAAGTACAGGCTATATATGAATAACCCACAGCTAGTATCATCCTGAATGGGGAAAAGCTGAAAACATCTTTCCTCAAAAGATCTGGAACAAGACAAGGATATTCATGTTCAATATTCTTTTAATATAGCAATTGAGAAATCACTAAAGAGAAAGAAAGAGCATCTAGATTGGCAAGGAAGAAGTAAATCATGCATGTTTGCAAATGATATGGTTTTATATACAGACAAATCTATGCATCAAAAAGCTGTTAGAACTAATAAACTAATTCAGTAGAGTTGTAGAATACAAAATCAGCATAAAAAAGTAACATTTTTATATATCAATAATAAACTTCCTGAAAAAGTAATCAAGAAAATAATCCCATATACAAAAGCAAAGAAAAAAAGGAAACAAAATTAGGACTACATTTAACGAAGTGAAAGATCTCTACAATAAAATTTATAAAAAAAAAAAAAACACTGATGAAAAACTTAAAGAAGATAAAAATGGCAAGACACCGTGTGTTCATGGGTTAGTAGAATTAGTGTTGCTAAAATGACCATACTAGCTAAAATAATCTATAGGTTCAATGAAATTCTCATGAAAAAGACCAATGATTTTCTTCTTAGAGATAGAATAAACAATCCTAAAATTCATGTTACTACAGAAGATCCAGAATAGTCTAAGTGATCTTGAGCAAGAAAAAGAAAGAAAAAAATCCAAAACAAAACAAAATAACAAAAACAAAGCTGGAGGCATCATAATACCTGACTTTCAAACATACTACAGTTAATAGTAACCAAATGAACAAGGTACTAGCATGAATAGACACATGAACCAATGGAACAGAATAGAAAATACAGAAATTAATCCATGTTCACAAGCAAATTGATCCCCCCCCCTTTTTTGTTTTGTGGTGCTAAAGATAGAACCTGTGGCTCATGCAAACTAAGAAAGGACTCCACCCCTGAGATGCATTGTTAGTCCCCAGCCAACTGATTTTTGACAAAGGTGTCAGGAACATACAGTGGAGGAAAAATAGTCTCTTCAGGAAATGGTATAAGCAAAACTGGATATACA